TCAGTAGTGGCTTATTGAATGCAATATGGCCTATACAATGGCTTGTGGTGGCCAGCAGACGTACAAGTCAGTGCTATTATGCTCCCAGACGGATCTGGTACCAATTTACCGTCCCCGGGAGTAGAAGGATTAGTTGGCCTGGGCGGGAGTTGACCAGGGATTTGAACCGAGCACCGCGCGAGTGGTAAGCGCGTCACTTGTCACTACACCACCTTCTCCTCATGCAATCCAAATGCCGCTTGCTATTGGTTCGAAGAGAACATCAGATTTCTTCATTTTTTTGCCTCCACTGTACCTCGAATTCTCGGTTTTTGGGTGAGGTTCTGTCTGTGCCACAATCCGAGACGATTTTTTGGCTTCACTTCTACCTCTACTTCCTTGTTTAATTTTTCTTCAGTTAAACCTTTTCTTCCTACTATCAGTCTTTTACATAGTTCTATCGACCTGTCTACATTAAAGTTAAGTGAAATCACACAAAAATGTGGAGAAAAGTCGGAAAACTTTTCACTAGATCCCTCAAACTGTGGGCAGAGCTCTTTACTCTGGGGCATTCTGCACTAGGTTGTAATTAGCTATATTTTCCAAGGTGGAATTATCGATTACGAAGGCCAGTTGAGTAGGCTACCGCGCCAAAAGGCAATACTGCTCGTGATCCTTTGGAACTCAATCGACTCAGATACCGCAAGAATGCTAATGGGCAAATCTCGACCCCGGGCGGGACTCGAACCCGTACTTACGCTTACCGGGCGGGTACGCGATCCAATGCGCGAATAAAACAAAATCTCGGATGAGTCACATCTGTAAGCTTAATCAGTGTCTGTCTGTCTTTTTTTGCCTTTACACCATCGCATCTCGCCCCTGCAAGTCCTAGTAAATGTAAACTCCTGTCAAACTCTGCGAAATAGTGTCATTGGATCGCCATTTTTTCCATTTTTCCAAATCTGGACCAGTAATTTTGACAAGTTTGGCAGGGAGTTTACAAAGTACTTGACAGGCGATAACAAGGCTTACAGGGTGCTGATGAGGTTTTCTGGTACGCACGACGAGGTCTTCGCAGGACTTGGAATTCGCTAAAACACGCGCAACGGCGATTGCGCGTACGGATGTGCCCCTCCCCCCACCAAAAGTTTATAGCGCCCAAAATCTTTTCTTTCTTATTTTCGGGTTCAGGGGTTTCTCATCTGAACTTTCCATGGTCAAACACCTTTCATCTCTTTTCTCTTGCGTATCCTGCGGCACAAGTGTACTTTGGACCGCTCAAATGTTCCCTTTTTCCTTCCCTTTTTTACGGAAATCTGGCTTATTTCGGTTGTAGCCGTTCCTGTCCTTTTCACAGTCTTATAACCACGGTCAAACTTTTGAAATGGCATTTTATTGAAAAGCACATACTGGTCAAGTAAAACTTTGGGAGACACGTAAACGAATTCTACCAAATGAATTGCGATGAAATGATGTCATAAGGAAACCCGTGTGAAAATCTTGCAAATCTCATAATCTGTTGCATTCAAAGGAGGCCATAGTATACGGCGAGATGGGAGAAACACATACACAGATCTACACCGATATATGAAACGAATAAATCTAAGGCAGCGTTCAGACTTCGCGACGGCAGCGCTTCGGTCGCGCGTTCGACGCGATCGATGCGCATGCTTTCGACTGCATTGATCGCGTCGAACGCGCGACCGAAGCGCTGCCGTCGCGAAGTCTGAACGCTGCCTGGAACAACTAAACAACATTGAGAACGTGAGAAATAAGCAGTGAGTATGATACAAGTTGGCAACAGTACCGGTGCGAAGATCAGATCAGCTTGTCGTTGTACGTTAATTTATTTACTCATGTTAGTGTTAGCATTATATCCATAGATGTGTGGTGGAGATGAGGCAGTACGATAGTTTTTCACTCCAGACCTCACATTTGAATTGTACGAAATGTTGTTGGTGAACTGGAACATATGAGACATAGGTTACGCATGTTCTACTCCTAGCTGGCAAGCTTCTGAAGGGGTCCTGAATGCCTCACAGGGTTGCAACGTGGAACCTTAGTTCAAAGGCACTGGGAATGATTGCTGGAGGGGAGCGGTTTTTGCCAACGTTATTGGCGGAAGGACTGCGAGAGGGCTGTTCCAACCTACTGAGCCCTTCCACCAATGACGTTAGCGACAACCACCCGCCCCCAGCCAGTGCCTTTGATCTGGCCTAGCATCTCGCTGCCCGAGATTGGGAGTGGGCATAGCCAGTAAACGACGTCAAGTGCGATTGGCGGGTGGGCGGAGCCAGTAAACGGCGTCATTAGTGCGTCTTTCCTCTTCCTGTACTCTTCGCTTCTTCGCTTGAAGGCGAAATGCACTAACGACATCGTTTCCCAACTCCGCCCAAATCTGGTTGCTCGTTGAAATCGTTGGCCCTTAGGACCTCAAGCCGTACGGTGGGGTGGGGGAGGGCGGGCGTTGATCAGTTGCGAATCGGTCAATAATCTGTCACATATTCACGATTAAATGCACTCTTGTGGGGTAGCGGACTTTTCCACTCAAATAGATGAACCGTCGGATTATGAAGACAATGATTCAGTTAAAACTTCAGGGTCCTAGGCCCCTTAGGCCCTGCGAACCCTTGAAAAAATTTTAGCTAACAACTTTGAAAGACCCAAAACAAGCGAAACGCATGCCAAGGGGACAAGAGGAGAGAAATCGGGGTGTTTTAGTCGTACCCTTTGAACTGTTGTCCCTGTTGTAGTTCTCTAAGTGACCAGCTACTGCTCCCACTGTCTACCCGCGCGACTCGCACTCCACCTCCCCCTTTTTGCGGTTCTAAATCTTAAGGAAATTTGGAATTTGTGTAGGAGGTGTGGGGCGTCATATAGGTTGCAAATCGTTGTAGGGAGGGGGCTCAAATCGAGGCCCTTCTTTGTGGGTCATATTGACACCGCCATTACACACATACCCAATGATATGCCCTAATGGTAATCTTGCCCTGCTGCCCGGCTTACTAGCTCTTGCTGATCTCAGGCGAGCACAAAACTTGTTCTAGCTCAATATCAATGCGGGGGATGAAGGAGTCCCTGCCCGCATAATGTGCTCTTAATGCGGCCAATCACCAAATGACGAATCGGGTTCAGTGAGCAGTTTGTTAGTGGGCAATTCGTACCCGTAAAAGAACTAGTCACTCACCTTACTAGCGTTCGGGTGGTTGAGATGATGACATGTGAGTAGCCGTTTGAAGCAGGTGCGGAACTCGCGATTGAACACGGTGTAGATGACGGGATTCAGAGCCGAGTTCAGATAGCCAAGCCAGAATAGCACCGACCATACGACATCATTCGTTTGTAGTTCCAGCCCATAGAGCAATGAGAATCCAAGCCAACAGAATATGAAACAACCGGTTACAATGGCCACCGTCTTTGCTGCTTTGATCTCCAACGAGAGCCGTTTCTCATAAGCACCGCCACTTTTCTTTGTGTGCCCTCGATTGATGAGCGTTCGAAGTGGATTCTTCCGTAATTTGGAGATAAGTGGCGATGACTTTGCTGTCTGCTGTGGCGCTGCCTCAGTGTTTTTTGGCTCGGCGGATTGGTCATTCTTCCGTTGTGATGGCGATCTTAAACAGATGTGAGTAACAACTGTCATCAGAAGCGAACGAAAGGATTATTCACACTTACCCACACGAATCGTCAGACTCAGTGCTTTGTCCCTTCCCCTCTCGCAGTGTCTTTGCATCGCTCGAATCGCGTTCTTGCGACGGTTCATGTACTGCAGGCATTATTTGTGGAACTTTTCCTTCCCTCTCGTCTTTTACGGGAGAAAGAGATGTGTTGCTAGGTCGCTTCGTTCTACGTCCACCGATGCCTGACCCATTTCTGAAATTGAAATTTTATAAGTTCTAGAAGAGGAGAGGATTAAAGGTTCTGGAAAACCTACACTTCTTTCGAATTTATGCTGGTTGGTCGAACAGTTGATACAGAAGAACCACGATGTACTCGCAGCATTGGAAGCGATTCCTTGGCCAACACGTTGGGATGATTAATCAGATAGCTCTTGGTGTTCTTGTTGGCATTGGCAGTTACTTGCATCATCCCCGAATAGATGCTCTTGGTAGCAGCTCTGGCGGCGATGTAAATACGGAAATAGACGAATATCACGATTATCATAGGCACGTAAAAGCTGCTTGAAGCACTAAATGTGATGTAAGCTCGACCAGCATTAGCGGGAGTACATTTGCAAGGCTCTTGATTGACGTCCTTAATGGATGAGGCAAGAAAGAAGCTTGGACTGCATATGATGAATGAGCCTATCCACACGACCGCAACGGTACATCGAGCACGGAATTTGGTCACTAGCATTGGATAGTTAAGCGGCTTGATGATGGCTATGTATCTATCGATAGATATCGCCACAAGATTGTATATGGAGGCTGTACACATCCAGATATCCATCGTCAGCCATATAGTACACCACGTTTCACCAAATATCCAATATCCGTTAAGTACTTCATTTGCAATACTGAACGGGAGAATCACAGTTCCTACCTGAAATCGACTCATTTGAAGTGAAATCAGCAAGTGAATGGGAACTATTGGAAAGGAAGCAAATGTCGTGTAGCACAAGTAGGCTCCTCAAAAATTTATTGCACAAAAACTCAAAATTCTCAGAAAGGAACTCGAAAGTCCTTGTTTATATTCGAATGTTTCTGCGCCCAGCACCTTCTTAGCGACCTGAAATACGTCTGACAGCACGGTTAATTTGCAAAGATATTGAATAAGTCTCCCCGATGCGCCCATCTGTTGTCAACAACTAGTATTAGTAATAGGTAGGCGCAGATTAGAGGCTATACAATATCTTAAGGAACTAAGCGTGAGCATGTTGACGTATTTCCCAGTCGCTTCCGACGCCACGCGGCCGCCCGAGCCTGAAGTATTCGAAATATACCGAGACTTTTGGAGTTTCTCTTGGTATTTTGAGCTTGTTCGGCTGAATTCGCAGTAACATTTGTGTTACACAACACTCTCTCTACTTCCTTGGCAATTAGGAAAGCGAAAAACGAACCAGAAGATCCGCAACACCTAGGGAGAGAATCAGCAATCCGGTAGCAGATCGTAAACGCCTCCGGAGAAGTACTGCAGCTATGACAAGTGAATTGCCGAGGACGACAACGACCACAAGTACCGTCAGTACCGATATGATGGAGAATATTCGAAAGAATTTGGCGTGATGTGGGTTTCGTGACCATTCATAGAATGTGCATGTGAAATTGTGGACCGGATCCGCAATCATTTCTGCTTCTACAGTGACGGTCTGATTATTAGGAGGATTCTGCTCCCCATCTGAGCAGTAACATTATCTGAAAGAAAGACACTAGTAAATTCACCATGACACATGCACCACACCATCACCAAGCGCAATTCCGTTGAATGTTCTCTTCACTTTTCTTTCCTAGCTTCTGTCAAATGAGGTCACAAATTCATTTGGCGGAAGTGAAAAAGTTGGGACCTTCATCTGGCTTGACCGTTTAACAAAAATGGCAAAATTGGAAAGACACTCTGGAAGTTCATCCCGACGTCATGCAACAAGGTAACGATTCAGAAAAGGATGAGTTGGAGACATGAAGAATTGAAAGGAAAAGGAGTGAAAGCAGAGGGCTAAAAGGAGATGCAACTGAACTTCTCCAGTCAGAAGAGACATAAAAAAGGGCAGAAGATCAGCTTCTAGGACAATTATAGAGAAGCTTTTTGTCTGAACTGCCTCCGACCGACTATGAAGTGTTTGATGAAGTGATAAATAGTGCCGAGGGTTTTTAATCGATTTCGGAAACCCCGCAGGAACTGAGAAAGGCAGCTGATCAGTTATGAAATGTGACAGCTGAGCCTTTGAAATTTCCGCCCGTTAAACGGCAAAATAAACCCTGTTTCGACTCGAGTCTTTCCACAAAGAGAGCAGGGTTTGCTGCGGCTACGAGTGGCAGAGCTATTAATGCAGATTCTGAAAGGTGGATTTCCACAGAAAACATCTGTCGTGTAAGTAATTGAAATGGAAAAAATGGCTTGACGCTGATTGACATGTTCTCGGAATATGCGCTGTGCTACGTGAGAATTCGAAATGTCCATAATTGTTCTGCTCATTCAGAACCAGTGCGGGAATACGGAGAATACGAGTAATAGGGATCCTTGTAAATGGGGTTGAGATTATGGGCGTGACATAAGAGGATATGAAGGGACTTAGTCTTTAAAGAAGAAATATTGTTACCAGGAGTGACTCTTTCATGCTCTAGCTCCCACTAGTCTCTCTAAGCTTATAATCCCGAAATCAATACACCTGATGATTCCGGAGGTTTGACTCCCTTGCTAACAGAATTCAGTCGGGCCTGAAAATGGTTCACCGACGCAAAGATGGCGATCCTGGTCATGCAGCAAGACGATTTTCAATCTGAAAAATGGACCAGGAGGGACGAAGTTCATGGAGAAAGTTGAAAAACCCGGGTAATCCTCGAAGGTGGGCACGAAGACATCCGAGATTACTAGAAGGGGTGGTGTCTCACAAAGGCCAGTATATCTCAGTTCTTTGCG